CCGTCTTTGGGCACTGCAGGGGAAGACTTTTTTCGTCTATCATTGTTCCAATGGTTTAAAGTGTCTCCTATGTTGTCGGCGGATGGCGCTGTCATTTAGCTTGACTGTAATCATCCAAAATGCCTTTGACACTCATGGCAAGGAGAGTTTAGTAGGTCTAAGTAGGATCTTACGGCTATCCGCCTTTTTTTATCCTTGCAGAAGCAGGAGGAAGGCAAAAGGGGTCACCAGGCTTTCGTTGGCTCCTCGATCCGCGATGTTGCTCCGAGTATCCTCGATCCCTCTGATTATTCTGCTGCAGCCTGGTTAGTTGCCTGCAGTGAGTACCGAAGCCGTGCCGATCTCTGGCAACGTACGGTCGCTGCTGTCTTCCTCACCTACTGCCTTTCTGTAAGCTCTTTTTTCACGTTTATTTCGATGCTGAGTTATTTTCTCGACTACAGATCTCTGGCTTCATAACTGTTTTAAAGCTTAATTTGGGTAAACATTCCCGGTGACCCTTTGACCGCTAGTAGCTTACAGTTTTACAAGCACCTGCTACTGTATATAAAACTGCCACAAACGCATGTCTTTTTACACCCTTAAGAGCTCCCGTTACACTTGGATTCCCTTTGCAATTAGCCCTTGAGATGCATTAATGCCTACTTCAGATTAATGACTACCCAATGGCGTGGTTTGAGGAGGCGGATCTTTTCTACACTCCTCCATCTCCTAAAAATCGTCCAGATCGCCTTCCAGCAAGTTGGATTGCGGCTTGCCTGCTCTACCATCTTCAATCTGTTCCGGTCAATGCACATAGCCACGCGGATGACGTCTTCTCCTCTCTCCAAAATCTCGCCTCCTATACAATGCGTGATACCTTCTCCGCCCTCTACCCAACCCTCTCCCTTGTCAACCACTCCTGTGATCCTTCGACGTTCCGTACCTGCACCAGTGGCGCCACTTGCTTCCTCTCCGCTCTGCGTCCCCTGACTGCAGGCACAGAAATCTTCGACTGCTACACCGACTGCTTCTCCACCAAGCCTCGCGACGATCGTCAGAGTGAACTCAGCTCCCACTACCTCTTCCAATGCGCCTGCGAAGCCTGCACCAAGGACTGGCCGACTCTTTTCGATCCCAAGCGCCGCCAAATGGAGTTTCTACGTTGTCCACAGTGCTCTGGCGTCCTGCATCTGCCTGCTCGGCGTTGTCCTCACTGTCGATCGACTCGGGCACTAACGAGCTACACTCATTTGGTGAATGTTGAGGTGCCAAAGCAGATGGAATTGGTTTCGGAGGGTGTGGTGAGAAATGATGCGGTGGATGTTGCAGGGGAACTCTTGAAAAAGCTGGATTTGCTGGTCCTGCGACCTGGGACTGTGTGGGACCAAGCTCAAGAGCTCTTTAAAATGGTAGTGAATTTTACCAGAGGTAGTTGGACTCTCGAGCCATCAGATTGAACAAACCACTTTTCTTCCTTTTCCACTTGAAGTTGGCTTTGGAAAATCATTTTGTTCTGTTTACCTGTTTGTTTATCGGGTTTTGTCTTAGTTAATCACGAAGTCTTTTTGTATGCCAGCCTCTCAGCCCCCCTTTACGCTTATAATAAAGTTGTCTTCCATACTGGTTTAGATTATGGCATTTTAGAGTGAAATTTGGAAACATTAATGCCACTCCAAAAGAATTCAGATTAGAACTGCACCGACTCCAGGCGACTATCTCGATCTCGAGTTCTGGACAGTGCTGAATTATTAACTTGTCACAGATAATTTCTTGAAGACGAACTCATGGCAAGGAGAGTTTAGTAGGTCTAAGTAGGATCTTACGGCTATCCGCCTTTTTTTATCCTTGCAGAAGCAGGAGGAAGGCAAAAGGGGTCACCAGGCTTTCGTTGGCTCCTCGATCCGCGATGTTGCTCCGAGTATCCTCGATCCCTCTGATTATTCTGCTGCAGCCTGGTTAGTTGCCTGCAGTGAGTACCGAAGCCGTGCCGATCTCTGGCAACGTACGGTCGCTGCTGTCTTCCTCACCTACTGCCTTTCTGTAAGCTCTTTTTTCACGTTTATTTCGATGCTGAGTTATTTTCTCGACTACAGATCTCTGGCTTCATAACTGTTTTAAAGCTTAATTTGGGTAAACATTCCCGGTGACCCTTTGACCGCTAGTAGCTTACAGTTTTACAAGCACCTGCTACTGTATATAAAACTGCCACAAACGCATGTCTTTTTACACCCTTAAGAGCTCCCGTTACACTTGGATTCCCTTTGCAATTAGCCCTTGAGATGCATTAATGCCTACTTCAGATTAATGACTACCCAATGGCGTGGTTTGAGGAGGCGGATCTTTTCTACACTCCTCCATCTCCTAAAAATCGTCCAGATCGCCTTCCAGCAAGTTGGATTGCGGCTTGCCTGCTCTACCATCTTCAATCTGTTCCGGTCAATGCACATAGCCACGCGGATGACGTCTTCTCCTCTCTCCAAAATCTCGCCTCCTATACAATGCGTGATACCTTCTCCGCCCTCTACCCAACCCTCTCCCTTGTCAACCACTCCTGTGATCCTTCGACGTTCCGTACCTGCACCAGTGGCGCCACTTGCTTCCTCTCCGCTCTGCGTCCCCTGACTGCAGGCACAGAAATCTTCGACTGCTACACCGACTGCTTCTCCACCAAGCCTCGCGACGATCGTCAGAGTGAACTCAGCTCCCACTACCTCTTCCAATGCGCCTGCGAAGCCTGCACCAAGGACTGGCCGACTCTTTTCGATCCCAAGCGCCGCCAAATGGAGTTTCTACGTTGTCCACAGTGCTCTGGCGTCCTGCATCTGCCTGCTCGGCGTTGTCCTCACTGTCGATCGACTCGGGCACTAACGAGCTACACTCATTTGGTGAATGTTGAGGTGCCAAAGCAGATGGAATTGGTTTCGGAGGGTGTGGTGAGAAATGATGCGGTGGATGTTGCAGGGGAACTCTTGAAAAAGCTGGATTTGCTGGTCCTGCGACCTGGGACTGTGTGGGACCAAGCTCAAGAGCTCTTTAAAATGGTAGTGAATTTTACCAGAGGTAGTTGGACTCTCGAGCCATCAGATTGAACAAACCACTTTTCTTCCTTTTCCACTTGAAGTTGGCTTTGGAAAATCATTTTGTTCTGTTTACCTGTTTGTTTATCGGGTTTTGTCTTAGTTAATCACGAAGTCTTTTTGTATGCCAGCCTCTCAGCCCCCCTTTACGCTTATAATAAAGTTGTCTTCCATACTGGTTTAGATTATGGCATTTTAGAGTGAAATTTGGAAACATTAATGCCACTCCAAAAGAATTCAGATTAGAACTGCACCGACTCCAGGCGACTATCTCGATCTCGAGTTCTGGACAGTGCTGAATTATTAACTTGTCACAGATAATTTCTTGAAGACGA